CAGCGGGAGGCCCGGGGGCGCGGGGGGGCGGCCGGGGGGGAGAGAGCTTCCCTCGGGGTCCTTCCAGCCCTGGGGTGGGGGGGCGACCCTCCGAAGGGGGTCCGGCCGAGGCTGCGGGAGGGCAGAGCGTTGCTTCCGGACCCCCCCTCGCTCTCTCTCTCCCCTTTGGCCTCTCCGTGGATCTTTGAAGGCCTCCCGACGACAGGCCCCCCCACCCCACGCGCCCCATGTCCCGCGTGGGAAGGGAAGAGGCAGCTGAAATCATCGCCTGGTTAGGGGCCTCTTCAGTCCCGTTGTGTTCTGCTAGCTGAGGGGAGAAGGAAAAAGTGGGGGCAGCAGCTGTCCCAAGCCAGCTGTTAATCTATAGCTCCAGAAGAAGGCCACCCCCAAAACAGATCGAACCTGAACTTTTTAGATAAGAATAAAATCTGCATTGCCAATCTTTTTATCCATCTTGAGATTCAGCCTCCCATTGGTGTTTTCGGTTCCAGGTATGAAGAAATTGATCTGGAGACGGGAATCCTGGAGACCAAGCGGGATCCGGTCCCCCTGGATGACATTTATCCCGTGCACATGGTCTTGGACCACAGCGAGGGCATCCAGGGGTCATGCCGGTATTTTAAAGAGAGGCTGGATGTTACCGACCAGGTCAGGACAAAGGATCTGCAGGCCTGTTGCACCTACGAGGAGGCTTATGATAAGTGAGTAGCAGCGTTTTATAGGCAGCCTTTACTCTAGAGGAGTTTGGACTGCTGTTGGAACCGGGAGATGGGCAGTGACTCGGAAGTGGAGCCAGATGGAAATGTCATCTCAACTAATTGTCCTTCATCCACCTAATTCGAACGTATATCACCTCTCCACCCAGCTGTCTCAAAAGTGGCCACACAAGGAATAAATCCCATCTGCTCATCATCTTTGTGGCTTCATTGCCAGCTTTGAGAGACCAGTGTTTCAAAGGGGGGAGGAGGAGTGTGGGAAAGATTGTGACCGTCATCCAAATAATCCCTAGCACCTCCTCCTGGAGCCTAGAAGTAGATGTTGAGATGCTGTCCCATGTTTGCATCCTCCAGCCTGCTTCTGGTCTTAGCTGGAATGTGTTTGAGGCCACTCTTGGGCCCAGCGGGGCTCCATGTTCTTTCCAGCTTGGCTCCGCTTGCAGTGCCTGTAGAGAAGCAGGAGAACTCAGAAGGCAGAGGTTAAGAGGGGTGGGTGTCTCCTCTGTTTGGGCAGAGTCATGGGTGAGTGGTGATTCTGCTGCTTACCCTCTTCTGCCTGTATACAGAGGTACAGTTTGAACAGGTAAGTGGCACAAAGAGCGATACCTATGAATGTGCAGGAGATGTACAAAGCCTGGCATTATACTGACGCTGCATAGAAAGTGGCCGATGTTTTTTTAGGGAAATGACCTTCCTCACCTTTTCTCTTTGCCTCACAGGTGGGGCGAGAGGCTGGTCCTCGTGGCCTCCCAGGTGCTGCGTCACAGAACGCTGATAGGCTGGGAAGGGGATCCGGACCTGAAGCTTCCCGACTTCTCCTACTGCATCCTGGAGCGCTTGGGGCGTGCTCGGTGGCAAGGAGAGCTCCAGAGGGACCTCAGTGCGGCTTTCAAGTGAGGATGCAGTCCTGGGCGGGAGTTTGTTCTGCTCAGTTCTGTACCTAACGCTAGAGACACAAGCAATGAAAGTGTCGTTGGTTGTCTTTTGTGGGGTTATGTTGCGCCAGTTGGTCATCTGTCACGGTTTGTGCCACGTTTAATTTTTGTAAAGCCCAGCAGGCGGAGCTAATACCTGTTGCCCTTGCAGGGTGGACGCTGGCAAGCTGCACTATCACCGGAAAGTCTTGGACAAAAATGGGCTCATCTCCATGCAGTCCCACGTGATCCGGTTGCCGACGGGGGCCCAGCAGCACTCCATCCTTCTGCTTCTGACCCGCTTTCACGTCGACAGGTGTGGGCCGCACAGGGTCAGGCAGGAAGGGGCTTGTGATGTTGGGGAAGTGGCACAGGATCGGCCGGGGGGGGGAGAGTGTGCTGTGTTTTGTTTCTTCCTTCCTCTGCTGCTTCCCTTGATCTAAACAGCCCCCTTTCCATTTTAGAGGGAAGTTAAAGCTGCTCGTCTCCACCAGCCTCCCTGTGGGAACTGCACATTTCTTCGGGTGGGGTGGGTGGTTTTTTGGAATTTTTACTAGAAATGTCAGGGGCCTCCCTTCCTGGGGGCGATTTCCCTGATCAAAAGCAGCTCCTCTCAACTACTTTGACGTAAGCCATAAGAAGGAGATCCTCATTATGGTGCTGTCTGTGAGTATAAGAGCCCAGAGAGGGAAGCCCGTTCTGCTTGGGGACAGAAGCAAGCCGGCGCCTCTTGCTTTCCCCCTTTCTATTGCCTTGATTTAGAAAAGAGGCCGCCAGTCCTTTCATGCACTGTGGCAGGAATAGGAGGCTCTCTCTGTGAGGGTGACTTACAGCTGCCTTTTCTTGGGTTTCAGGAGGAGCAAATATGATATCCTGATGGAGAAGCTGTCCACTCTCCTTAGTAGTCGGCCCGGTCAGATGGAAACGCTGAGCAACATCCGGGAGGAGCTGGTGAGCTGCACTTGTCTTCTCTCTGCCTGATCATCTCTCAGGCCCCCTGGGAAGAGGCCGTGGTCTGCGCTAAGCCTGGATGCTAATTCGCTGTGTTGCTAATTAACTGTATCATCAGATCGGCACGTTTTCGGAAGCAGCCATCGGGGGGTTGGGGGGGGGATAAAGCATAGGAGTCTCAGGGCTAGTGGGAAAGCAGCAAGCCTGCCTGCCTGCCTGCTCAGCAGCCATTCTTTTCAGAAATCCTGCCGTGCTTAGAGTTAAAGCAGCTTTGTTTCTATGTCTTTGTAAGGGCCTATGCGAGAAAACATTTAAACGTCTTTATCAGTATATGCTGAACGCTGGCCTGGGCAGGATTGTGTCTGTTCCGCTGCAGGATGTTCGTCCGGAAGGAGGCCCCTTCAAGACCAAGAAGGGTAGGAAGGCTGTCTTCACAGTTCTCACAAACATCTGCTTGTGGGAGGTCTACGTTGGCAGAGCGGTTCTTGGGCCATGCCAGACCCCTGTCCGTGCTCCCTCCTGTCCTCACAAAGGTGGGCCCCTAAAGCGGCCTTCCCCACAGCAGGGCTTCCCTCTGGATGTAGGTCTGGTTGGGCGGGGGGTGGGGGGGGGCTGAGCAGTTTCTCCTTCAGTGTGGAACTGGCAAAGGAGTTGGAGGCCGGCTACCCTGTTTCCCTGAAAATAAAACCTAATCTGAAAATGAACCCTAGTATGATTTTTCAGGATGCTCGTAATATAAGCCCTAACCCAAAAATAAGCCTCATGAAGTGAAACTCCACCCTTGTATAGCAACCAGAAGATGACATGACTGTATTTGAATAAATGTAGATTGTTGTACATGGAAAATAAAACTTCCCCTGAAAATAAGCCCTAATGTGTTTTTTGGAGCAAAAATTAATATAAGACCCTGTCTTGTTTTCGGGGAAGCACGGTAGCAAGCCAGGCTTTTTGAGGCCCACAGCAGGCCCTCATTTCTTGGATCTCTTCAGGAGGGAGGGGACTTTCAGTGCCTGCCTATTTGTGGCCCCCGACATGGGGGGGGGGAGAGCTCTGCAGGAGGATCAGTGAGTGGAGGGGATGCCAGAGCCCCTTGGCTGGCCTGCCAGAGGGAAGCCATGAGGTTCCTTTTGGGGGGCTTTAAGCCCTGGGGATCTGGCCGGATCTCACCCTCCGTGGTCCTGCTGCTGATTTTGTCTCACTCGTTCCCCCCTTTGTGTATTGATAAACTCTCTGTGGTGGGTTTGGGTTGGGTTTTCTCCCAGGCACGGATGTCATGGTTCGCTGCATGAAGTTGGTGAAGGCATTCCGGAAGAAGGTGGATGATTATGACGATGACGAGGAGATGATCACCAAGACCGTGCAGCCGGTGGACATTGTGTACGAGAAGGACATGCTGTCGCAAGCCTACGAGCTGAGTAGGTGGTGGGGTTTGACAGGGTGTGGAGAGCCTCTCGCCTGGGGTGTCTCTCTTCTCTCCCCCACCCCCCGCCCACTTGTGGGTGCAGGGCAGAGGCAGTGGGCACTTAGAGAGCTGGGTTCACAGGATGCTGGGCTGAAGATCCCTATTTATTTCCCTTGGCACCAGTAGTGAACATCTGGCCTCCTTCCCTGTTGGGGCACACCTTCTGCACTTCACCCGAGTGAAGAGTGGCTGAGATGTCCCACCAGCACCGGCAGCCTTTCCTGGGCAAAGCAGGCGTGCACTGGCCCAGTTTTCTGGTGGCTACTCGGGGCCAGTTCTTGCAGTGGCCACGCAGCATCCCAGCCATTCCCCAGTTAGTCCAGCGGGCGCCGATAGAGAAGAGAGCCTGCTTTATCCAGGGGGGAGATGTTGGGGTTCTTCAGCTGCCAGTGCTTGGGAAACCTGTTCCTCTTTGTGCTGCAGCTTAAGCTCAGTATCTTAACGTCCTGCTTCAATCTCCTCCTCCTCCTTCACAGTTGAAAGTTGGGGGACTAAAGGCATTTCTCAGGCCGAACTTCGGGCGGCCATGAACGTGGGCAAGCTGGAAGCCCGGATGCTGTGCCGCCTCTTGGAAAGGTACAAGGTGATCAAGGTGAGTCTGAGCCTCCGTTGCTAACCCTGGCAGAAGCCGGGGAGGGGTCTCCTCCTCTTTGGGCACCTTTCCCAAAGTAAGAGACAAGGAAGAACCGACTGTCGCCCTCCTTGTGCAGGGCTTCATGGAGGACGAAGGCAGGCAGAGGACGACCAAGTACATCACGTGCCCGTACGTGGAGGAGAGCGACCTGAGCCGGCAGTTGCAGCGGGAGAAGGCCCGGAGTGAGCAGCTGGCCATGGCCACGGTGGCCACTGCCGCCGCCGCTGCCCACGAGGACTCCCTGCCGGTGGCAGAGCTCTCTCCACCTGAGGAGGAGACGGCCCTGCTCTCTGAGTCAGAGAGGGAAGAGGAAGCGAAGGAAGGCCAGCGGGCTAGGAAGGCCAGCCTGCTGCCTGTGCAGAAGCCCGGCTGCCGTGGTGGTGATCGTGGCCCATTCCATTCAACGCCACTGAGAGGTGTGCCACTGGCGTTGGCTGCAGAGGTCTTTTTTGGGGGGTGGGGAGGTGGGGAGTTGAAAAGACCAACAGGACACAGGACCTTTCCCATGGCAGACACTTGGCAGCTGCTGGTTGTTCCTCCTGCAAGAAAGCATGGATCTCTTCTGGCTTCTGCAGCTCTCCTCCACACCTGTTGCGCTCCCCCCTCCTGCCTTTTGGGGGATCCCCCTTTGCACCACTTCGCTGCCGCTTTGCTTTCTCGCACGCCAGGCTCCCTGGCGGACGTCTGCCCCCCAAGGACCACAGGACTGTGGCAAAGGTGGCTTCCGTGGCCCTGAGGAGGCTGCCTGGCCCCAGTTACCCAAACAGGAGGATTGTGGGAGTCCCCGTTCAGCTTTCGCTTCTTTTTCCGCATGTCTTTCATATTCTGAGTGTATGTTTGGCAGGGCAGGGTTTGCAGCCTGTGGTGCTTAATTAAGGGGCACAGAGTGTCTCCTGAAATTTACCTGCATTGTGATCCTGGCAAAAGTCCAGCCTGCTCCTTTTTTCTTCAGGGATCCTGGCTGAAGTGGCTGAGATGCTGTGTCTTTTTCTTCTTCTTCCTCCTCCTCCTCCTCCTGTTCCCCGTCTTCCTCCTTGCAGGAGCCAGGAAGCGGTCCACTCGCCGGGCCACCCCAAGGAAGCCGTCTCCTTTGCATCCTCTGGAATCCACCCGAGAGCACCCGGATGCCTCGGCAGAAGCCGATTCCACCCTGGACAGGCTCAAGCAAGAAGCCGCCCTCTCCAGTTGTGTCCATGTTCAGGAGGACGCAGGTGATGTGGCCGTGGTGGAGGAAGTCAAGCCGGAGACTCCCAAAGTAAGAGTCTCAGGCCCATTTGCCTGCGTCTAGGCTTCACTGTTGGCGGGTGTCTGTGGGCCCGGGCAGGATAGGCTGGGCCACCCCTGTGGACACGAAGTGGCCCACTGGGTGGAGTGGCTTTGCTCAGCCTCTCCCACCCCACCGAATGGGCAGGGCAGCCACAGGGCAATCCTTGCTAGATGTTGACCCGCTGGTGTGTGGTCAGAGGCCATCGTCTGATGGTGCCTGGTTCCCGCTTGGAGGTCTCCCACCAGTGCCTTTCTTCGGGGTGGAGAGTGAGAGCTGCGTGACCTGCCTCTGGAGGGCTCTCCTCCCAGCCGTTTTCTGTCTCCCCCCCCCCCGCAGAAGAGCTGCGAGGACAAGAGGAAAGAGAAGCGCCCTCGCGCCCTGGCAGCCGAGCGCTCACACGAGACCTACCGGCTCCTGAAGCGGCGCAACCTCATCATCGAGGCTGTCCGCAACCTTCGCCTGATCGAAAGCCTGTTTGCGTAAGGCGGGGGGTGTGTGGGAAAAGAGGGGACCGTCTTGTGGTTTGCCCCCCCCCGGTCCCCAGTGTCTCTGGGGTGGAGAGGCAGGGTGGCTGCTTGGTTCTTTCCTACCTGCCAAGGAATGCCCAACACCTCCTTTTCTGTCCCCCGCCTGGCAAGAACTTCCCCTCTTGGCTGTACGGGCACCGGGGGGGGGGATGTCTGGGATCAAGGGAGGACCTTTCCCTCCCCTAGCAGGAGGAGCCTCAATGCCTGGAGCCCCTTCTCTTTGGGACGTGCCTCTGCTTTCCTGTTTCTGTCCTCTTCTGGCCAGTTCCCCCCAAGGCCTGGGCCTGGGCCAGTGCTTTTATGTGCTGAACGACCTAGACAGAGCCTC